CAGGTTCCGGTGGGTTGTCGTACGGCTTGTGACATCACAAAATGACGGAAGTATAAAACTTGTCGTTAATATACATTAAAAATGCATTTACTTACAGTAAATATGCCCTTGGGTGCCATTTTTTGGTCCTAGGACTGTTTTTTTAAGAAGTACATACCCAAAGTTGAGTAAAAAAAAACTTTAAAAAGTGAATTTTGCATAATGGGTCCCCTTTAAACAGATCATTGCATTTCCTGTTTAATCAACTCAAATTGGCATCTTGGCTTCTTTGCACATTTACCATTGGAGAAAGGAGTGTGCTGTTTATTGAACAGCTTATAGGCACTAAAACGACACTGCTTTGCACTGAAACATGTTTAATCTAACTATACTTGAGGCACCTGTGTGATGACAATCAAAAACACAAGGGTTTAGATTTAACAAGATGTGTGCATGCATGGTTTCTTTAGCCTTTAGTTAAACAGGACTCTAATAACTGATTCCTCCAAAATCAATAAGAAGAAATAATTTGTATGCATACAAGRCTGCAGTTGACAGTCTTCACTTGTTAGTAAAAAAAGAGAAAAAGTGAATTATTTGCTGTATTTATTATATTTATATATTAGCATTTACCATTTAAACATAGCTCACATGTGTATATGTCTGCAGTATGCATACCACCAGCTGAGCATGTATAATTTTAAACCTGTAAACACTTCTGGGAACCAAACTGAAAGATGCACACTACAAGTGCCGAAACTGAAAATCCCTCTCATTTGTGCTTGGAACACGCTGCAACAATTTTTAGTTCACCTTCCTATAATGTCAAAATATTTCAAAGAAAATGGAAATACGTCTGACACTTCACCCACACTCTATCAGTTATTTATACTCTATAGAGCCGGCGCAGACAGACACACCGACAAAAAGTTTAAGGGGCTGATTGTGTCTGCAGAGGCACTTGGCTGTGTCGAGCTCTTGAAGAGTGGAAAATGTTCGGGGCTCGTGGTTAGAGTGACAGACATCAAAAAGATTAAAAACTGCCCACTTCTCCAAGCATATTGCAAATATTGATTCCACCGACATGTAGAGGATGACACAGAGTGACAGAAAAAAAAAGGAAGAGTTGAAGAGAAACAAAACTTAGAGGCTTGCATTAGAAATTGTAACACCCATTACAGTTGGCTGATGCAAAACAGAAGTGGTATTACTGCCAATRTTTATTTAATCTTCAGCTAATTCTATAGGTTTCTAACATGACTGGAAATAAAAATTTAAAAATTATGTTTTGTTAAAAACTGAATGTCAAAAAAATACCATAAAGGGCCTAATTTCATTTGCTGTAGTTATGCCGTCCTTCTATTGAAACAACAAACTGTTGTTTTTTTAAAAAGTATAGTCTTACCTTGATTAACCAAAAACAACAATTCCAGAAACTGTTTGGGTTTGTTAATTTATCTTAGTTTCATCTTCATTTGTTGTGTCTTTCTGGCCTACCTTACAGCCCTCACAGGCGTGGACGCCATAATGAAACCCTGAGGCTTTGTCCCCACACACTCGACACTCGATGTTTAACGGGGTTGCTGACGTATCGTCTGGAAACTTGGAGAAGACGGGACTGTCAGCGTACTGCGGAGGCGACTCTGGTTCCAACTTGATTGAATCTAATACAAAAATAAGACATCTGAATATTAGCATATTCACATTAAGAGGTAAAGCTCTGTTTTTTTGTTTTTAAATGGGATGTTTCAAATTTGAACATAAAGAGAAAAAAAACTACCATATTTATTCATGTATAATACGATCTCATGTATAATACGACCCCCCACCCCATCTTTGAGCTTAAAAAGCATAAAAAATTTAATCCTCAAACTACCTCCAATTTCATTCAGACCAAGATTTTTCAGCCTTTGCAGTCTTTATACATATCAGTAAAATGATCATTGGACTGTTCATTTTATTTTAACAACATATGTCCTAAAAAGTATTTTGACAACAAATATATATCAGCTGTAGCAGCATCATATGAATTCTGGCATTTTACACATAGTCCACCAGGATGCGCCAACACAAAAGTCAGAGACTTCACATGAGATTTGGGCCATCTTGTGGGGGAAAAGCAGATTACTTCCTACTCGCAGGCACCCCCTCTGGTGGGGAAACGTTTTTTCAGGGATACAAACTTTTTCAGAACACCGGTAGACGGCAGCCATTACAGGCAAACGTGTTTGTTGTTGTTCGAGGAGGAGCGGCCCAGTTACACGCTAATGTCATTAGTTCGTTATCATTACTGAGCTGCAGCACTGCTTTTTTCCCCCTTTTTTCCACATCATGTCGCCTGCCTGGATCTGTTATTATCTCGCTGTGAAGCATGGAGGAGTGTCAGAGGTAAGCTCGTTTCAACTGCTTTTTACGATGCGATCTCATTTAAGGACTCATGCATTTTGTGAATGAAGCCGATATTTCAATTAAAATACATAAGAAAAATATTTATCCGAGTATAGTACTACCCCCAACTTTATGGATGATTTTATGGATTTAATTTTACGTATTATACTTGAATAAATACGGTAGTTGACATGTTTGGTGAGTGATCAACAGACTTACTGTGTGTGTCCAGTTCTGTCCTGTAGCTGTGCATGTTTGTGTAGTCCATGTTGGTCAGGTGTTCCTCACTCAGCGATGGGCTGATGTCATAGGCCACACCAGCGGATGAGATGGAGGACACGAGTGGGGGGGACAAGGAAGAAGGGATGGAGGAGGAGGAAATGGAGGCGTAGTCTGATGTTGACAAATGTTTCATGTCAAGGCAGTGGGAGCTGTCGTCCAGCTCTGGCAGGTCCACCGTGTTCAGGCTGAAACCAACAGGCCAAGCCAGGAGCTGCTGAGTGTCCACCATGTCTACGGCGCAAGAAAGGAGAAAGGAGTCATTAGCCAATGCAATATGATGCAGAAATACGAGCAAACAATAATGTATCACGTCTCGACTTTATGTGGCCTTGATAAAACAAAACACAAGTCTAACAGTCATTGATGAGAGGAGAAACACGAAAAATGAAAAAAGACAAAGATAACAAAAAGTCCAGACCGCAAAAATGAGTAGAAATTTACACATTTATACTTCAAGTTCACATGTAACATTCCACATAGAGTTAATCATTAAAAATGTGCACTCAGAAAAAGTTGCAAACATTAGTGCGGGCATGCACACTCCCATCCAAACAACACGAGCAGTACCCTCAGTCCTCCTGCTCATTCCTGCTGTCTGACTGTTATCAAGAGAGCAGGGAGGCAGATTKTGTCACAGGGAGGACAAGATGAACTCTGGCAAGGAGGAACGTCTCTTCTGCTCAAAACACTGTCTTCCTCTGATGCTGTTTGGGTGGCTAGTGGCGAGATTGCCCAACCAAAGGACACGGAAAGCAGGCCAAGGATGCAGAACTAGTTTTCTGACAAAAAAGTTCCACTTTCTGAGCACTGAAATATTTTAAAACTAGATGGTGCTGAACATTTCCCTCTGATTTCTTCATTTTGAAATTCCTGACTGTTTTAGATCATTTATTGTCAGGATWTCAATAATAGAGCTTCTATGGCTTGATGATGTTTTTTTTAATCAGTTTTGGCCTTTAAATCAGATGATACCAAAATATTGGTTTACTGAAAAGCCTGCAAAACATTCTGGAAATGTATTTAGTCACYATTTTATCGGCAGGGGCACAGAAGAATGATTTTTTTTCAGTCAGTCCAATATTTAACACAAATCATCAGTTATTGGAGGGRAAAAAATCAGCTGAGATGATCAAAGTCCAACCATCAGAGATTACTACAGTTTACATAAAGCAATGTGGATACACTTGTTTAAGGCCGTCATATAAAGCAAAAATTCATAGCATATTTGAATGTTGTCATTGTCGTCTTTTCAGTACTTTCACTCAAGTAAATCCCAAATAATAAGATTATTAAAATACCTGTGACATGYATATTCTTCAAATGCAAAAAGTCAAAGAAAACATCTTGAAACCTGACATAATACACACAACTTKGCCCATTTTGTCACACAACTGGCATATTTTCTTTTGAACTTGGCTCAGCAAAAGTGAAACAGGAAGTGACATCAAAGGGGAAATATTTATGAAAAGGAACTCTCTGGTCTTTGCTTAGTGAAATAATATCTGTCCTGGATAGTGACTCAAAATAATTTAAAGAARTATCAAATTCTTCTCTACAGTCTRCRTTGTTAGCCATTTTAATAACACTCTGTTCACATGCAGACATTCCCCTTTGACATCACTTCCTGTTATTYTACATGCAAATATCTCAACAACTGTTCATCCCAGCGGCGTGAAAAYTGTTTTCTAGTATGCAATTAATGTTGTCTTTCCAAAAATGCTTTCATATTTATTACAAAAATTTGATGTCACAGTCACTTTAAAGTAAAAAKAAAAAGAAAAAAAGGCTAAATAATGAAATGTCTTAGTTTTTRTCCACTCTACTTTTTGGTAGTAATAGGTTAAATATTTCCTCTAACAGGAAGACACATTGTGGACTTACTAAAGCAAACAGTGATTTTGAAGATAATCTAAAAACATTTAGCACTGTCATTGGTTTTAACCAGCAATGCACAGATGCAACATTAAAGCAAGTAACATTGTTTTTTACTGTAAAATATTTTTGCAGAAAAGTTTTCATTTCTCCAATATTTATCATTATTTCTTTTTAAATTATTATTTGTTTTAATGATTAAGATCTGAACTCAAAGGACTGTCAATAGGAAAACCCAGTTGCTCCAGTTTATAAATATACAATAGAGCATAAAGGTCCATGAACTAAAACATCCGTCACGTAACCTTTATAACATTACAGAATCTCAAAATGAACCTCAGCCAAACTCCAGTGCCCAATATAGAAAAGAATAAAAAAAACGTAACAAAGAATTATGCAACAGGACATAGCTAAAATAGTAATGCCCAGATGGCACCAGGTATAAAAATGACTTTCACGAGTTCCAAATTACTTGGCAAAACATCCCTCTGGAACAAACATCCTCCTCAACCAAATGCATTTTGTTTCCTTTTTCTTCACTCGCTTGGAATGCGGCAGCTGAAAAATCAGCGGGGGTCCACTTAAAATTCTCATGGACTGTGGTATTGTTCCACAACAGGACAGCGAAATATTGTGTATGTGACCACATGCTGGAGCTTCCACTGCATTGGAAGCTGATGACTATTAATAACCAGAGAAACCTGGTTATTTTTCCGTTTGCTGGCCTGTTGCCAACTGATAGAGCACTGGAGCAATGGGACGACTTGTGCTCTGCTTGGCATTAAGTCACTATATGGGGAAAGATATCTAATGGGAAAGGAAGAGCTTTAGAGGTGAAAGGCATAAGAGATAAAGAAATGGGTGACAGAGAGCGAGTCCCTGGACCACTTAAAGAAAGCAAACTGCACCCTAGAGACTCTGAGGGGGGAAAAAAACCCCTTACATGAGGAAATTCATGTTTTGTACTCAACGCTTAGAAAAAAAAAAAAGAAACCTGGCAGTTACACCAAGTCTTTAAATCATGTCATATCAGAAGGTGAAAACAAGTTTGGACCGAAACCGCTCCCTAGAGATTGTTCTTGGAAACAATGCAATGCAAAATCTCTTCAAATTCAAGTTTGTATCTGTGAGTGTGGCGTAGGAAAACAAGCTGTCAGACATTATAAAAGGTGACAAATGATTAGTAAAGGGATGTGTTTGCCTCGCATCTGTAAAGGTGTGTGCATGTCAGCACGTGTGTGACTGTTGTGCCGGTGTCTTCAGCCAGTTCTCAGATTTCCACGTGTCAGAGCTTGACTTCCAGGTACGAGTACGGTTTTTAAAAGTACTTTCTATTATCTATTGCTTCTGTTGTGACACAATAACAGAGTGCTAAGAGCGAACTGGCAGGCAAGTCTGACAACTGCTACAAGCAACTACACTGAATCAGCTGTAGGACWGAGTCGACTTATTTTAGATGAAAAAAATGAGCTTTTAATGCAAAAGTTTTGAAAATAAGTTAGGAAAACACATTTCATGTTTAATGCAATGGCACAACAGTGAAATAAGTGCAGAGTCTGACATTAAATCTTGTATTACCACATGAAAATAGGTTGCAAAATAGTCAGCTTGATGAGTCTGTGCTGCTGTTTACAAAATCTGAATGCAATAGCGTTTGAGAATGAGGAAAAATCAAGTGGAAAATGTGAAATCTTTTCTTCAGGGACAGGGTTGCAAAACAAATGTAACGTTTTTGATGCTCAGATTTCTTCACAATACCAATCACTCTGTCCAAAAAGGCTGAAGCAAAAGAAGGGTATTGTATTACTGTATGGTTTGTGCTTTTAATAAGTAAGTGTTAACGCAATAAATGCATGCTGTTTCTCTTTCGGCTGCTCCCTTCTGCGGGGGTTGCTGCATTGAGCAACTCGTGAAAAATGTAGCGTTTCTGACACAACCTGTCCTTAAACCTGCAGCCTCAGCGGCACTGACCACCGAGCTACTGCRGCCCTCATTACGTACAATGAATACACCTTTAATAACTTTATTTAAAAAAGATTAGCAAAAAAGTGCTTTTAGAGAACTATTTAAACTTACTCCAACWTTTTTAGAGAATTAAAAGCATCAAAACTCCTATGCAGTAAAAGTCATTTAACGGTCAGCGGAGACAAAAATRCACAATGAAGGAATAAAGAAGAGTTTAAGAGACTGAGGAAGTTAACACATAAGGCAGTTTGATATATTTAGTTATGTGGAAGACAAAAGAAAGAACCTGCCCTGCTGCATTCAAGGTCTTAACACTCTTATCTGCACCCTGAGTAAAAAACTATGTACCCTGTTTCAGGGCGGGGACTGAATGATTATAATCAGGAAATAAATGATCTATCATTATTCTTCTTTTGGGTAAAAATATGTTTAAATTTCTAAACAAAAGTTTGACGATTTGGATACAACTCACACAAGGAGAAGTAGATTTATATATATATATAGATAACCATAGAAGCAAACAGAAAGCAGGTAAATATTTTAAGGTAAACATGATTATGTCTCTTAGAGCTGCACGTTTGCTGAATTTAGTTCAGTTTCACAGTTTGTATGGCTGGCACATAGGTGTCAACACAAAGTGCTGCAAAGTAGAAAGTAAAGGAGGGTATGGTTTTCTCCCTTTACCCAAGAAGCCAAATATATTGTCATAAGTGTTTTCATGAAAGTGTTTGTGTGTGCTTGGGGGGGGGAGCTAGAGAGTAAGTGTGAAGACCGAATTCTGTGACTTCCTGAMCTCTTCATGTAAAACAGCATGTGGTTCAGCGTCAGTGACTAAAACAAAGACGTGCCCGCCTGCGYGTCTGCCTCACAGTCCCCACATTTTCTTTGAAAAATGAAGAGTGTTGATTTTTGTCTGATTAGTCCTCTCTAAGGAAACTGTGAGGCTCTGGAAACACTGTGCACTGTAACAAATGCTGTGGTTTCATTGACTAAGCAACCTAGTTTTTGAAATAAAATGCTTTCAATAAACTTCAAAAGCAGCAAGTTTAAAAAAAAGTGTCAAAAAATCTTCCTTTACTCTTCAGGAAACTTCCACCTTTTCTTTTTTCTGTTAGTGTGAAGCCACTACAGCAGATTTACCTGAAAAGGGCCTTCCCCTTTTGCACCTGAATGATCAAACAGGAGAGTGCTGGAAAACCAAGTGCAAACAAGGTGTCAAGTGGAGGTCTGGACTGCCCTCTTGACAAAAACGAAAGTCTGCTCTGATCTGAAAAAYCCTCCTACAGGCTTGGTACTGAATTTATTCATACAAAGTCTTTAAAGTGTGTCATTGAGAGGTTTGAAACCGCAATCATTGCCCAAAAGATAACCTCTGTCTGATTTGAATGTGATTT